ATCGCTGGCAATTGGACACTCGCGGAACAAGTTGTAAAACGCTAACAACATAAGGTCACATCGCTATAGCCATAGCTCTATACTAATTCTGTGAATCGTTGTCAGCTTCCTTGACCCGAAAATTCTCGTTCAACTCGCTTTCGAAACTGTTTCCTAACCATGAAATTTATCCTACGTCGCTGATACTCGGATCTGTCCTCCCTTCTACATTGCAATTACCACCGAATCAATGAATATATCATCGCTGAGACTAACAATTTCCATCCTCGTATTTATTACCATGCTAATGCGATAAACTGTCTGACGTGATGTGATAAAGCTGACAAAACGGACAATTCTTATATATATACATATATTGCATCATGTCAACAGATTACAAAATAATGAAACCGGTCGTCGAAAGTCGACGCACACGCGGGACTTTACGTTTCGATACGAATATCCTAGCGACAAGATACAGACGGATGCTAGTATCTATTTATCACTGTCAAGGGCGCCTATGCAACCGGATCGTCTCTCTGCAGTCATTGTTAAACTCATTTCCGTCGCTCGATTGCCCGTGAGTGCATTGAAAATTTAACCACCAGTTTACGGTTAGCAAGAGAGACCCCCTCTTGTCGTCGCTGGACACTGATGGCTCCTCTCGATAGAAGACCTATGCGTATCGAGAACAGTATTGTATGTATAAAATCATATTTCTTTTATATCTTCATCATCGTGTCTGGAACATTTCTCTTTTTCTCACGATAAATATGCTTTTATTTAGAGCTAATAATCTGTTCACGGTGTTTGAATTAGCAATGAATTGAATTCAACGAGTCTTTCATTCATTAAATTTTTCCTGTCTCATGGAAATCCGTTTGAATAATCGATTTATGTTGGAAGCTTTGTGTTTAATTCCGGGACGGGTTTATTCAGGCCGATTTAGAGGCAATCCTCGGTCCTTCAGATCCAATTCAACGGATTCTCCACTTCAGTCTTGATCCAAGAGATTGGAATCGCGCTCCTTGAACTCGTCGGCCAACGTTTTCCAACGCTCGATTTCCACGAACTTGCTTTACAGTGTTTCACTGTCCCCCTCGTTAAGCCTAGCGCGGTATCGAATGTCTAATATGTTTCATCTCAAGGCAACGATCTTTCCGTCAAATTAAAACTGCTGATCTAGATTTCTACCGTATTACGGAACCCAACATCTTCTCTCCCCCTGTAGAATTATAAAAATTACCCGTTAAATCGTTTCTATCTAACTGTTTGTTTGGCCTACAACAGAACGTTCAATCGTTCGATTGATCGAACAAATAAACAAACGTGAGATTAAAAGAAGGGAGAAGTCATAATATGACAATTAACTCCTGTTATCTTCATCTCCTAACCAATAGTGAAGGTGTTAACAAAAAGGAATCTCGAAAGACCGAAAAAACAGGAAGCTGAGTAACATTAAACTCCAAAATGTAAACGTTCCACTCTAACGGTGTCAATCCTGTTCCTTTCTCCATTACTTATCCCGTATGCGAAATCATCTCTGCTCTCTGATCATCTGGCTGATGATTCACCTAAATAAAACGCTGAAAAGAACAGCACTGTTTAAAAAGAGAACCGCTACACGGTTCGACGCGGTACAAATCCTCTTGGAATGTTCCTATTCGTTTCTTCTTTGCGTTTCTCACACGGCGTTCGAGATTCGAATCGACTTCGATCGAACTTCGATAATCTTCCTGATGGAATTAATGAAAAAGATTAACGAGGCGTACGGTCGTCCGTGCGACTCCATGAATAATTACAACGTCACTGCCGCATTACAGGTATTTACACGCCGACCTTACGCCACTTTCCACCGCGTCACGTTTCCAGGTACTCGAATTCCTGCTTGTTCCACGCTCGAAGAGGTTCCCCATCCAGGCACGAAGCTTTCCTTCCTCTCACGCAATCAAAATAGTTCTAATACTTCGACGACGTTCGATGAATTCAAAGAGATTTCTCACAACGGTGCAGGCGCAATTCGCTTGGATGAAACTCGAGAGAGGAAAACAAGCGGTGTCAATTATTTTGTAGAAATGGAGAAATGTAGAATTTCCGAATGGTCGAATGTGATTCAGACTGTTCTGAAAAATTTCACAGAAGACTATATTACTCTCTTCTTCTCAGCTGGTGGAAAATATTCTTTGACTTCCGAACGGGGAAAGAGATCTACACATTTGAAATTCAAAAATCACACGAAGCCACCATCCTCTTGAATAGAAAAGAATGCATTAACTCTTGCCGCTGGTGAATTCAATTGGCACAAAACTTCAAAGTACTTCACAGTACCAACTACCATTTTAGTATTCAATCCTCGAAGAGGCGAAGAACCTCCGGCAGGTCTCCCACGCGCGTCACGAAGAAGAGCAGAGCATTAGGCGTTGGATCTCGGGTTTATCGAGATACGGAGGATCTTTCCAGCTGACGTGGCTCGTGGTCGTATAGTGTGACCTCCGTCGGTCTACTTCGGGGGGGGTATGTACACCTTTTACCCTCTTGCTTTTCCACGGTCTCTCTCTCGATGTGCTTACCTCATCCAAGGATAGTAAAGCATATTAATTCTCTTGTTCGTGTAAAAATCAAACAGAGATTCTCCTTTCACGTTGAGAAGCCAATATCGGACGAGTCGAGTACAAAAAACAAATGAATAAAAGAAGAAAATTTACTAATCAAGTCATTTATACGCCCTCTCTTGTTCTCACTCCCTGTCGGCACTGGACAGAAAAGGCAACGACTAATGGGGGTAGAGAGTAGCCACGATGATGTGAACCAGATTATGAAAATCAGAGCGAGCCACGTAGGTTAAAAGCTCGTTGCGGCGAGCGATAATGATGTCACTTTTATTAGCCTCATCAGGGTCGAAGCATCCTCGACAGGGGATCCACTATTACCTAATAACCGACACGATCATGTCATGTATCTTGTTATATGCCCTATGGTGGAATTTGCATCCATCCATCGATAGCTCGTCTGACGCGCGCGATACACTTGCATACACGGACTCCTCTCTTCGGTTGATCGATTTTTAAAGGTCCCGCCCGGTTTATTAATAATCTCAATCACTTGCCTTTCCCAACCCCTCTTTTATCCAATTTTTCTTTTTTTTCTTCTTTAAAAAAGAAACACAGAAGCAACCTAAGAATATAGAATATCGTATGAAATTGAAGGATCATTAGCATATCTGATAGTATGGATATTTATTTGAATTTGTATACCGTCAACTCGTCGCCATAGGTGGGGCTATGTAACTAGGTCGCCGCCGCTTTGGAGCATCGCTTTGTGTGTTTCGTTTTATCAGGTCGTTCTATTGTAATAAACTTCTTTTTTTCTTTTTTTTCTCGTGGTACCGGTTTATGCGTTTACGTCACTATATACTGTTTTTCCAGCGTTCATTTGCCAATTCGATAGATTTATAACTGCAATAAAGTCTCAGAGGTATATTGAAATATTCCATTAGGAAGAAAAATACGTTAATCTTCTTTGTCTTGACTAATGAAAGCTTTACTTGTGGTGGTATTATTAAAAGTGTTAAACGATAAAATAGAATTTTGTTATCGGGAACGGTTTGTTAATAAAACAGAGTAATACCGATCGTTAATGTGGTTGGTGTTATTAGGATGTTATTAATCGGACCCGCCTTGCGCCTCGCAATTACGCTTCTTTCGACATTCGACGTTGTGCGTCTTCATTACCTTAATCGAGCGTAGGTACCATTCAATTATGCACGCGTATTATTCTTGTTTACGAGGTTCGACCGCGTACCGCGTGCTATTATCTGTTTTTCACGGTGAAAGGTAATACGGCGTTAAACGAAAGAAATTCATGCAAATTGCTCGACTGGAAAATGCATAACCATTACCGGCAGTAAACGTGCTCGAGTTTGATTGCAAAATATCAAAATTCTTCCTTATCTTGTAGTCCTGCAAGTTTTCTTCACGGTTCAGTTCGTAAAACCGTGAAAAATGAAAAAAAAAACTCGACCCGTTTTAAATTTTCAAGTTGGTATTTCAATTTGTATTGAAATTATCAAATAATCCCTTTTTTTTTTATCATTTGTTTCAATTCCATCATCTTATGATGTTAAGATACGAGGAAGTTGCACGGAACGCCCGAGATCGTTCGTATTTTGCACACAATGTTTCTCAATTACAGTGCACTTCTCGTCAGATTCCCCCGTGCATCGCCGTTCCAGCCACCATAATATCGCCTGTTGTACTTTAAGGTTCGATATAAACGTGTACAGCCTCGTATAGGGCAAGGTGTGTATAACGGATACGCAAATACATATCACGGGTGCAGGAAGTGCGCGTGTCTAGGGAAATTTCCAAGTTCACCAGCGCACCAGGCACCTCCATCGATCTGCCGGTGCGCGATGCTATTGCTACATTTACGGCATTCACTTTTATTCGAGATTCAACGGGTACGAGGTATTGACCCCTGAACTTGACCTATACTGAGGGTATATCTAATATCTCGAACAATCGCGAAGATAAACGAGTCCTTTTTTTAAAAAAACACCATACGTTATGGTACACTTAAGGATTTTCACGGTGTCATTTTGTACCGTTGGAACTAACGCAATATTTTGAAATCTATAATTTCACGGTTTCCCCTTCTACCGTTTGGCCGCATCGATTAACCTCCTAGTCGAACGTTGGGAGCTTTTCTTACTTTACACGTTATTGCAAGCTTATTTCTCTTGCCTGAGAAAAATTATGACATTCGGTAACACTTAATGTGAATCGTTGAATATGTAATAGCGATAGATGTCTAACTGTCTTATCCTGAACTGTTAACCTCTCTTATTCGTTGTTTGTGGAGCTTTCAAATGCAGGGGCAAGTAAAACAAATTTCCCATAGAAATGACGCATAACGGTGACGTTCGAAATGTACAACGAGAAAAGTATCATCCCCGATGGTAAAGTAGTTTTTCGACCGCCTGAACGTTCGATAATCGTAGAGAAGGAAACAGTCGTACTTACTATTGCATTATCTTAATCCAAATAATGCGAGCGTCAGACTACTGGCATCGAAGGGGACGGGGTTTACGCGGTGTCGGCACTAGGTGTCGTCCGGCGTGTTTTATTCTGTATCGGGTAGCAGAACGCACGTCACGAAGTTTTTCGATTTGTAAATTTTCGCGTGTCAACGGCCCGGTGGTCGTGTTATACTAGTCCTCGGAAAGCGTATACAAGCGCACCACTATACACCCGGCGAGCGAGCGGCAAGCCGAATAACTGACGCCAGCCAGAGGACCCACCGTGTGTCCCACCCTCCCCTTCTTTCTCTGCGCGCTCGCTCCTCTCTATCTGTCGATCCTCGTCCCTCTTCTACGAGATGCTTTCGCGCGTTCTCCCTCTCTTTTCTTCGTGTCGCTCTGTCGAACCTACCTCGTCGTGGTTCTAGCGGCGCACTAGCAGCGCGCCGAACCCCGCGATGCCGCAACGCGTGCCTGGAGCACACTTCGAGACCGCGCGCGCCTCCCAGCTGCCGTATCGACCCCTCCCCATTGGATGACACATCCTCCAATAACGAACCTCGAAAAGGATTACGTCACTTTGATATTATTGACGCCAACCATCCGGCAGCATCGCAGTGCTGGATTCTTTTCGGGGTATCTTTCCTTCTCTGTATAACGGGGGATGCAAGAATTCTCGTAAAAGGGTAGCAGTTAACCGTGAAGGCCTCTCTTCGCCACAGAGACTAGTACTGGAATCTCTCTTTTCCTTAAATGAAGGATACTTGCGCTTGGCCGCGAACTCGAGTGGCACGGTTCGTGGTATTTTCTAGGTTATCTTCCTTTCGGACCGGCGAATTTTCTATTACATATTTTGACACGATAACTGAACGAGCGGTATTATATATAATTGTTGATGTATCTTATTTGTAATTAAAATCCTTTTGAATGAGTTCAGAGATGACTAATTAAAGTACAGTTATTGCAAAGGGTGGAATCCTTGTATCAACGAGTATCGTATTACGTTATGAATTTGTATGAAAAATAGATCGTTTTCTTCTTATGCACACTTATCGTGTTATTTAGTATAATGGAAGCTTGCCTTACTAAATAATTTTATAAATTATATGAAATAATACAGGTTATACCCAATATACACGTGTATCATTTCAGAAGTATTTGCATGATATTTAAAATAACATTTTTAATTGCTATTTTACAAAAAGTAAGATTTTTCAATTCTTTTTGAATGACAAGACGTATTCGTACCGTTTACATCAATGAATTGAACTCGCACTGGTATAGGTACGTTACTGGGGAACACCCCAACCTTGCTCCCTCTGTTGCGTATGTTTTTTCCTCTCTACGTATCCCCTTCCCCGAGACTTTGGCAGTTAAAATAAGCTTTAATAAAAATGAAAATTCCGATAGAAGGGGAAAACGGGTCCATTCATTCTTACCCTTCGTATGGCGCATTATATATATCCAGGTGGTCAATTTCTATCTGCGTAAATTTTGTTCGATACACGTCCGTATCGGTAATGACCACTTCGGTTACACATCTCGTTAATGCAAATCTGTACATATTTATATTTATATATAATGGCTTTTAAAGACACCCATTGACGTAGGTACGTTTGTTACTATCGCAGATTGAAGGTGATGAGTACACCTTCCAGATATATGGATATCCTTCTTAATTGATATGGCGCGTGCTCTGTTTCCGGCCCGCGACGAATTTCGTGCGTGCGCGCCGCCGGGTTTACGAGTGAGCAAAACGTTGAATACGGAGAATGTCGTCACCGACTTGGAATTTAAATCCTGCGACAGTGTGACAACGTTAAGTAGATGCTCTCAACCCCTTACTCTTTGCTGACGGGCTGACACGCCGGCCAACAGGGTCTCTCATTTGTAAATCTTCTGCCGTTGCAAAATCAGTCGTTGAACTTACCTTTGCCTCTTGTGCAAGTGCCAAGTACCGGCAGTCGCGACGTTCGCCGTCTGAAGCTTCTTCCCGTCAAGGCGTTTCCTGGTTGTCTGAAAACATGCATCTAACGCTTTTCACGCATCTTTCTAACCTAAAGTGGTGCCATCACTTTAGTATCACTTTTCATTATAACCTTTACCCGTTGGTATTTACAATTTTATAATATTATATCCTACGAATTTTGCAAAATTATTCTTTAATATTTTACTAGGTATTTATCTAAAAAAAAAAACAAAGGCAGAAGCTTTTGGAATAAAGGGAAGACGAAAATTCCAGTTTCGAGATGTCGAATCGTTACAAAATCGATATCTCTCCTACCTGAACAAGTGATGTAGAAATCGTGTAGGAAAAAAAGCCGGTTATGAAAAAACAGTTATACCATAGAAAGTGTCGGCACTTTGGTTCCAGTGTAAACAAAAACGTGGACCTCGAACTGTGTACGCTTTGAGCGGTACTTAAACTGAGAAAAGGAAGTGAAAGTGTTAGGATCTGTCTGTCCCTTTCTACATCGTATACGCTTGTAACTGTAGCCTCGGCAGGAATATCACACCCTACGATATACGTAAACGAGGCAAACAGCTACGAATTGCAGTTGAAAGGTTACGTCGAAGAAGTAGGTGGCGGTAGACACGCATCGGAAGATACTTTTTAAATAACAATATTTACCCGAGTATTGTCGATGCTCATAAATTTTCTTTACGACTGCTTCGCATTATGATGGAGTAACACAAACTCATTTTGAACCTTTATCTTTTTTTCTTAACACGGATGTTATGGTTATTGCAATGCTTTTATTAAAAACATGCAGCCTCTTTTTAACGTATTGTACATTAAAATGGAAATTGTTGTGATTTTTAAACAATTTATGAATTGATTTCGAAAAATTGTTATTTGTACAATGACACAAGTAGATTACTTAATACTAATCATACGTGAAACGGTATATGCTGTTGTTAACAAGAAATCAAAATAAGCGAGATGAATTAAAGATGAAAAATCACGTTTAATCCATATATAGATATATTCGAGATTGGGAACACAGATATTATGTGTTGACGATGGTAGTAAACTGAGAAAACCGTGTTTGGAGCGTCGAGGAGGCGACGTTTGAAATCTGAACAGCGCAATGGTCGAATTAATCGACTAATTTCTTCGAGAGAGTTAACTTATTCTTCATTCGTTGCTTTTTCCTCGGTCGTAATGAAATCGTAACAAATATAACACCAATAAAATAGATATATTTTTGGAAAGAGTTTCACGACAACCGGTACGGCTTACACCTTGATATTCGCAATAAACTAATCTTTTTCACTGAGCTGTTTATTAAGAAATAAGACATTGACAATAACCGATACAATGTGAAATATATCATATTTTTTTCTTTTATAATTTATAACGATAACTACAAAATGGTAGTCACTGTACCCACGTGAACCTACTTTCCTGTCGTTGTGCGAAAGTGCTTCTCAGAACGAATTAAATGAGTTCGAATTCGTCGTTTGCGATATTGCAAGCCATGGAGGAGAATGAAAATTGACAAATGTAAAACGACGTAACTTAATGACGCAGGATTGGAGGCCCTGGAAAAGGCTCTCTATTGCTGGGAGGATGCTCTTACGGCGTTCAGCTCTTCACTCAGTAATGATGCGCTCGCGTTACCGTCCAAGGCGGATGCGGCATTTACGCACGATGTCCAAGAACTCCTTGACATGGGTTATCAAATCCAGAGCCATGCAGAGCTCCTCTTTATCGACCAGGTAGGCTCTCCGGTTTTACCTGTAATCGCTCTTTTTCTTCCTTCTTTCAATTACCGATGCAGATCTCCGTTATTGCTTAAATTAATTCATCGTTAAAAATGGAACGTGTTTATTACAGAATACTTTACAGTGATTTAATTACTGTTATTCTTAGTTTGAAATATATTATCAATAATTATTTTATTATTCTATTAAGATAACTATTAATGGTTTTTATCTCGACTAAAGTGACGGTAGAAAGTTTCAAATTTTTTTCCTGATTCACTTAAAATCTTTTCTACGTCACTCACTGCCATTCCATTCCACTGCGCTCATCAATTGCCTTTTCGCCGTATAAAAAAATGCGGGAATTAATCCAATTTAAATGATAACTGGCTGGAGTAATTAGTGCAATGAGTCACTTGACCTAACGCAAGGAGGAATTATTATATAGGAAGTTCACGGCACCACAACTACATACGGTCTTTTGAATCTAAGCGCATAAAATGCTTGCTGAATTAATAAATCGTTCGGTGTATATGTTACGTTCTAATTGAAAACCCTAGGATCCATTTAAAAGTACTTTATATGCTTAAACTCTGTTTATTAATATTCCATAAGTGATTTAAAAATAAATTACAAATATAAAGAAACGAGTCATTTTTATTTTTTGTTTTACAGCACTCAGTGTTATTCCGTAACGAAGACGAGGAAAGTATAGATAGTCATAAGCCTTCGAATATAGGTACCCGGATATCCGACAAAGATAAAGCAGATGCCGCATCATCTCCGGAATCTTTCGCATCTGCCCGAGATGGAGTAAGTTTAAAATTTTTTTACGTACTCTTACAATTTAAATAAAAATTTAATTTAATAATATTACTTTAGGTAGCAGATTTACGGGAATTTGAGGAATTTTCGGAATTTTTTCCGCATTTTGAAAAACAAAAACTCTATCATACTGCACTCAAGCAACACGAAGATAAAGGTATTCCTTGCAGGTAAATTTCTTAATTTATAAAAAAAATATATGCCGATTTATTGAAATTTCGATTTACATAAATTTATTCTATTTTTATCTTAATTGTAGACGAGTGCATACAGAGCTAGTAAAATGTGGCTCAGATGTTGAATATTTAGCAAAAGTGCATTGCCTGCGGCAAGCATACACAAAATTGTTCACTATACCCTCTGCAACAGAGTGGATTGCGGACATAGGCCGACAACTTATTAGTGATTTGATCATGTATGCAGACAGGGTATACACAACATACATCATTTACTTCTCCTTAAAAAAACACAAGTGGTATATATCTTAAAGTAATTGAATTAGTAGTTACTAATACACAATTTTTAATATTAGGATCCTAAGGATTATTTAATACATTATGAACGAATGTTGGAGTTCCTGCAAGGGCCAAACAATCATAGTATTATGGAAGAGGAATTAACTGGTAGAGGTGTAAAATGTATGAACTTCTACGACGTTCTGATTGATTTCATTCTGTTAGACGCTTTCGAAGAAGTCGAAAAACCGCCCTCGTCAATTAAAGCTATTTTACAGAATAGATGGATATCCGCTAGTTTCCGTGAAACTGTAAGTAAAGTGAGAAAATGAATTTGCTTTTATTCATAGATTTAATTTAAATTTATTTAATTGTGTTTAAGGCGATTGGAACTGCAGTCTGGTCAGTTCTTGTAGGTAAAAGACAAATGTTAAAGTATGACAAAGGATTTTTGGCACATTTTTACTCAATTTCTGAACAAATCTCTCCAGTACTTGTGTGGGGCTTCTTAGGTCCAGAAGGAAGCCTACATTCTACCTGCCACTACTTCAGAGATCAAGTAATTGAATTCCTTGTAGATATATTTAATTTCTTTAAAGTAAGATATACTAACGTTGATAACCTCGCTGAAGATGTACTCAGGGAAATGAAAATTAGAGTTGAAAATATAAATCAAAGACTTTCCTTAGAAGGTTGTTAATTAAATGCAAATAAATAGATACTATTTAGCAGTATGATATATATACATATACAAAATGTTGGTATAACTAAATAAATACAACAATAGTCAAAATCATGATATACTTTGTGGTGCATAATGAATTTAGGGTTGTTGTAAGTGAACAAGTTTATATGCTAGCAATCTTTATTCTTTTGTATTTTTGTATTTATTATGAGCTGTTTGTGCAGCTCTATCCATAAATAAGTGCTATAAACGCTGGTTGATATTATTGAGGAAGAATTAATGAATTCATGATGTAACAGTTTTAAAGAGTAATTGTTTAAAATATTTTAAAGTTAAAATTTGACTCATGTTTAATCATTTAGATTGTCTGTTAAATATAGTTCAATCTAAAAGATAAAGTGCAGAAATAATCCTTTACTTGATTTTATTTCTTGTAATATAATGTGTAGATTATATGTAGATATTAATTTTAAGATATTATACTTTTTAAGTAAATAACTTTTCACTATCTGCTACATTTCTCCTGTACCTTATATTAAAATTTACACTTTTAGTACAAAAATTTACGTAAAATGGTTAAATATAGTTTTTTTATTATAAAAGTGGAATTTAATATATTACTATTATTTCAATGTTACAAAGTTGTTTGTATTAGCAGTACATGTAATGATATTGTGATGAGATATTCATAGCATTTAAAAGTAGTATAATAATACTATTCCAGTTCCTTATGTATTCTATAAAATATCACTATATGATAGTATCAAGGTACTAATAATACTATGCTGTCTTCTTTATAATTGACGTTACATATATTATCACAAGACTTGAATATTATTCCTTTTATAACCTTCTATAAAAAAATTACATATAAATAATATTCAAAAATCGAAAAATCCATTGCCAAAGATAAGAACAATCTTTTGTTAGTGAAAGACTGTGACTAGTAGAAACATATATATGTCAGCTTTGTTATACCTCATGTTGTATATCATAAACATAGCATAAAAACATTCCATTATTGTAGCTATGCAAAATGTACTTTTTGGAAACTAATCATGCATAGTAAATGCAGCAAATTTTACATACAAAGAAATGTGTACTGTAAACATTATTCATTTTTCTTCATTCAGTTTTAAACCATATAGTGTAGGTATGAAAAGAAATACTCTGCAATACTATATAGTATTCTATTCTAATAACATTTAAGATACATGATTAATTAATAATGCTGCCATTAACAATAATTTAATTACATTTTACATTAACAGTAATATTTGTAAGCATTAAATTTGTTACAAATCTTTAGCTAGACAAAATTGTAGATAAAACAGATACAGCATACATTTGTCTTTTTAATTCCTACTTTTATATCTATATGTGAATGTTTATAGTGTAAATTATATCTTTACATATAGTGTACATGAGATTATTTATTAAATTTAATTAATATACATTTTAAGAATTACTAGCAATATTTAGCAAAATAAACCTAAAGTGAAAAATCAAATTCCTATATATAAAATATGTTCTTTTTTTTTTGCATTCCTAAGATAGGTTTTCTGTATATTGCATATATATATATATATATAAATTAACAGAACAACACATTCATTGCTTCATCATCAGATTCTTCCTCATCAGTAGATGGTACATCTGGCATTATTTGTGTTATGTTATGTCTGCGTTTATATTCTGTAAAACTTTCCTTTTCTATGGTAAAACAGTGTTTGTTAGACTTTGCATCATCTGATAATTAATAAAGATTTACAAAGTTTAATTACCTATATTTTTTGAAAAACCCATGGTCCAACTACGACTATATATATGATCTGGATCCACACTGATCAATGAATTCTTTTCCCTCTCAAGAGGCAATCTCAACCATTCTGTCCCTACCAATTTCATAAAAATTATATATAAGTGTGCAACAAAAAATATAACAAATATAAACAAATTATTTTACATTTATGTGCCTTTACAAGTGTAATTCTAATTTCTCTTCCTAGATTTACATGGATTGTTTTTCCTGCTTCAACTGTCCCAAAAAGATACAAACAAATATAATAACTTCTTGAATTGATTGTAGTGCTAAAAAGTACAAATATTACTTACATAACCTTTAATGACATGTACCTGAATAAAATTTATATGTAAATATGTACACATTTAAACTACCTAAAAAGTAAATGATCACATTCAACTCGAAGAAAATATTCTTTTACATCTTGCAATAAAACACGTAAAATAACTGTAACGTCTGTTTGATACCATATAATTTTTGGTGTGTGATATTTACTCGCTAGTCTCGGACAGTTCATACCTTAATGAAAATTATACAAAATGTAAAACATTAATTTACTATGTGCACAAATGTAACTCTATAAACACGAAATAGAGAAACTTATACCTAGGACGTAAACGATAAAATTTGTATCATGAAAAATGTCGCCTTTAAAAACGAATTTCTT